AGCAATAGAGGGAGGGGGCCCGGCCCCGCCCCGCCCGCCAGGGGCCTTGTCGGCCCCTTCAAGCAATAGGGTCCTGAGGGGAGACCCACCCCGAACCCCCTCCCTTCCCCTCCAGGGTGCCCCAGGCTTTTTCCCAGCAATAGGGTCGAGGAGACCCAGAACCGAACCTCATCTCCGAGTTAGGTCTCTGAAGACCGGGGTGGGGTGAGGTGGGGAGCACCCCCACTCCTCCCTCCTCTGCGCCCCTGGATCGCGTCGCAGAGACTCAGGTCTTCCCCACTCCTTTCCCAAACCTTCCAAGGGCCAGGCCTGCGGCCTAGACGTCCGGGGAGCAGACCGGGGAGGGGGGGAAGCGGGGGTAGAGCAGGAGGGAGGGGCCTGCAGAGGCGTCCCTACTCCTCAGTCTTCGCTGAAGCCCAGGAGTGATAGACGCGTTGGGGATCGGGGAGAGAGGCGGACGGCGGCACCCCTCTCCCTCGGGTTCTTTCTGGGGCCTCAGTCCAAGCCGCTCTCCCACCCTCGCCCCGCATCCTCTGCCAAATCCGAATTCTTCCAGCCCAGCTTCCCGGGCTCTGTCCTTCATAACGAATAATAATGACGCATATCGAATCGCATGGACTTATCCGACCTCCTCAGACCCCACTCCCGCCCTGCCCCGGGGCCCCCTCCCTCGTCCCCCGGCATTCGGTGTTGGAGGACGGATCCTGGGGCCCGGCAGGCAGGCCTGGGCACGGCCCATTACACACCTCTCTGTATTCGCTTTGCGGGTAAAGCCCCCTGGGGGGGTTGCGGACGCGTCGGGTTTCTTTCTTTCTGTATTTGTACGTTTTATTTATGAACGGATTGCACTCGGGTCAGGGAAGGGGCGCTGAGGCCCCCATCCTTCCCGCCGACGCCCGGGGCTTGGGATGTCCGGGATCACTTTCCCCGCCCCCCCACCCCCCCCCCCCCCCGGGCCCCCCCCCCCGCCCCCCGCCCCGCCCCCACTCTGTTGCCAACTTTCGCCCGTCTATGCCAAAGCCTCGGCGGCGACCCCGCCCCAAGGGCCCGCCCCATTGGCCGCCGCCTTTGTGACGTCACTGCATGCAGCCCCAGCCCTCCTCCCGTCCCTTCCCGGGGCTGCCCGCTCCCTCTCCCTCTTAGTTAGTCCGATGCCGACTATAGAGCAATAATGCGCACTGCATGCGAAGCTGCCGCCGCCTCTAGAGTTACTGAGAATCAGGTATCCCCCTGCCCTATCCACCCCATAGGCCCCTAGATCAGGGACATTGCGCGGGGCCGGACGCGCAGACTTTCTTCCCCTCCTCCTCCCTACTCCCCCCACGGCAGAGCCCTGCGGGTGTAATGGTTCCAGGGGGCAGGGGCGGGGTGGTTGCCCCCAAGACCCCTCCTTCAGTCATCCATTACCCACCAACTGTTCATTGGGCACCTACTATGTGCCAGGCCCGCTGCAGAGTCGGCCAGGGATGCAGCGGCCTGCAGGGGCTGCACGCTCGTGACAGGCGTCCATCAGGTTTGGGTGGGCCAAGGAGGGCCGCACGTGCAGAGAAAGGCCTGGCCCCTAGACCCAACCCTGCATCCCCTTTACCTCTTCCCCGCCCCGGCCCGGGTCCAGTGCTGGGTGCACTTGGGCTCTACCTTTGACTTGGGCCTAGCGTTCTCAGCTCAGGTGGCACAGACCCAGGGCCCCCAAGGCCCAGCGCGACCAGGGCCACCCATAACGACTCTCAGTCCTTCCATCTCTCGGCCACTTAGGCTCTGCTGTGTGGGGCCAAGGCCCCAGGCCAGACAAAAGGTGCACACTGCAGCGTATGACCTGGTCAGCGCCACCCCAGTGGGCACCGAGTTGCCGCCGAGCCGCACCTGCAGGAGCAGACTGAGGGCCCAGCGCAGCAGGGCCCGTATCCAAACCCTCTATACCGCAACTCGTGTCCACACAGCTCCCAAGCTGGGGCCTGCCCTCCTGTGCTGGGCACACCCGCATGCACACGCACACACAGGCGCCCCACCCAACCCCCACACGCCTGTCTACCTACCTAAGGAGAAGGCCAGAGGGCCGTGGGCCGGCCAGGGTCTCCCGCTTCTCCGTACACCCCGCCGCCGTGGAAAGCCATGGGCCCCCTCCCGCCCCCATAACTAAGCAGCACAATAACCGACTTAGCGAATTCAGGTAGAAGGAACGTTTAGGTAGCACCTATTTTGTACTGATTCTACGAGTAGGGCCCGAGATGCGGGGGCCCTCGGGTGGGGGTTGCGGCCGCCGGCCTGCCCCGCCCCCACCCCCGCCTGCGCCCCGCCGCCTTGTACATACTCCCACCCGGAACAGGCCGGGATTTTTACTCGGGCCGCGCCCCTCTTCCGCCCCCGTTTGGGGCTGGGCCGGCCGGACAGACGGACGGACGGACAGACCTCCTTCCTAAGCACAATAGCACCAGCTCCCCGGAGCGCCGCACCTCCACGAGGAGAATAAATGCCACTCTTGATAGAACTTGGAGTGTCGGGTTGATGTATCCAGTGCTGGGCCCATGCCACAGGGGGTGCTGGGATGTCTGGGGGGCCGCTTCCTAGCCCTGCTGCATCCCAGAGGCAAGGTTGGTGCAGGTCCAGTGCTGGGAGTGGCAGCCTGCCCACACAGCCCTGAGGTCATGTCACTACCTTTCGTGAGGGTGTGGCACTGTCCCCTTGCTCGGGAGGGCTATCTTCTTCCCCATGGGAGGGCCAGCTTGGCAGGCCAAGCCACGGGAGAACCGCCCCCCT